AGTTTGTCAAAGCCATGTTTGTCTCCCAGTAGGAAATGCGCACCCAAATTACAAGTATACTTTTCGACAGGAGAGTTACTCAAAAGATAAGCAAGCATAAGGTGGAGGCCCGACCCTGCATGAGGGCTTTGGCCTCACCTTGACTACACAGAAAGGGAAGGGGCAGCGACTGTGCTGAGACGCATGTTAACACACAAGGAAAAATTACGCAGTCAACCGTTGCTGCCCTCGCTTAAAAAGAGACGCCTAAGGTTTCGCTGTCGTGGGAAGTTGACACTGAAGGCCTTTAAAATCTGTTTTGGCGACCTTGCGGTGCGTTTGGCATTGGGTTTAACCCTTTCAGCTACTGGCTTAACTATTCTCTGCAGGGAGCAGTTGCTCCGCGAAACTGCCCGAAGATGGTGACTCCAATAGCATACAGCCATGTGTTCCGCGCATATCCAAACTTGTCAAGCTGCATACTAACGCTAGAAAGCGTGTTTGAATGCTCAAAGTAAAAGTGTTTTCTGAGGCTAGAGGAAACCATAGCCTGATCCAATCATTGCACCAACACAAGATAAAATGAATGTGGGATAGCGAACCCTTCTGAATATTTTTGGAATTAGAAGCTCATACTCTAGAATAACACTAGCGCTAGATAGGAGACAGCAATAGAAGCAAAATGCCCAAAAGTGATAAGAAGGCAAGTTTGCTTGTTAGAAAAGCTACGGGAAACTTAGTCCAGAAGCACATAGACATACCTGTGATTAAACCAAGACTAAAGTTTTGTTCAGCCATCGCCTCGTCGTCAACTAGCTTGTTATCCATTCAGACCGCACATGAGCGTGGTATCATGCCCTCTAGTGCGTTGGCATTTGAGCCAGTTGTTAGAATGCCGTGCAGTAGCAGTTTTTAGTGCACGAGCTAATATTCCCTTTCTAGCGTGCACAGCATATGAAGATAGAATGGTATTTTTGAAGGAGTTTTAGTGTATTAACGAATTAGGTACGGAGCCTGGATTAAATATGCTATCCCTGGCAAAGGGTCTAGCTATCTAATATTATTCTTATTAACCCAACCAATCGTCCAAGACTACCCGGAGCATAGTATCAATCGAACAACTGAAGAGTATCGTGTACAACGCCGATGCACAAGAAGGCATGCTTCACAGCTCTGAGTATTGTATAGTGGGCGCATGGCGTTCAGCTCAAAGGAGCCGGGTTAGCCTCTACGGGAATGATCTCACAAGCAGAAGACGCAAAGGTATCTGTGCCAAGGCACAGGTGGACTAATACTACAAAGTAATTAAATGTGGACCGTTGACGATCACGCAAAACACCTTTTTATCTCAGAGACATTTTCGCCGCACTATTTGGAAGCCAAAAGTAGAGGCTGGTCGCTGATTCCGTTTGCAACAAACAAGACCACAGCCCAGATGCCCCCGGATGTGGCTTAGCCATGGCAAGGAACTAGACAGGCTCCCGCCAGTCATTTCAGGGGTGACTTGGGGACGTTCAACAAGTCGAACGCATGTTCGTTGGCTAGGCCTGCTAAGATTCTCCCCAGCGCTGCAACGTCCTGCTGTTCCTCCCCACCGGAACCCTTCGCAAAGCGACTAGTCTACCACATATCGACTTTTTGGGAAGACTAGGCAGCAAAATGACGCAAAGCTTCACCAGTGCTAGGAAAGTATTGCCGAGCTCACAAAGAGGGTAGGCTGAAGCATTCCTCTATCGGTTTTGACGTGGCAATGGAAAAATTGTGAAGGGATGGTAATCCATTAGACCACATACTGCTGGCGACTTCTAGCACCTGCAGCGAGTGAAGGAACAGAAACGAAACTGGCAGTGAGCAAAGAGCTACGAAGGATCTGTTTTCATGTCACCAATAATGGTAGATAGTCTAGTCAGGCAGAGCCTAGGTACAGGCAAAGGAGGGCCAGGCCCCGTCTGCTCACCTCGTAAGCTAGGGAGGACTTTAGTGAACTGCCACAGGCCACTGAGAAATTTCACAGAAAACACGCAAAGGATGCTATGCCTCTCTAACTATCATGCCGAGCAGTACCTGACACCTTTTCAACACATCCGATCCTTTCAGCCCTTCAGTAAAAGTGCTCCTGTATTAAAGGCAGCAGCTCATCCAATCTTTTAAATAGTTCGAAAATAACCAGGCCTAATACTTTGTGTTTCCCACAAGTTTGAAGTTCTTTTGCTGCGCCACCACCTTTAGTTCTAGTGCAATAGTCGAACAAGACTTGGAGGTCTTTCTCTGAGAAGATCCCGAGGCGGCTGCTCAGCGGGTCAACAGTGCTTCGAGAAGCAGCGTGAGGTAATGCGTGTGGAAGTGCAGATTTCTGTTCACACGGTTCAACACTAGGCGCGTCGTTATTTGAACAAAAACGCTTAGCTGCATCTTTTTGGACCCTGCTAGCCTTCAACGCTTCAAGCAGATTGAGGAGATATGCCTTCGCATCCTGAGGGCGAGCCTCAAGGAGGCGCGTTGTCAAGTTCTGCGAACATATCTCAACAGATACGAAAAGGCATTTAGTAATAGATATCTGCTTGGGAGTTTTCTTTATGTGCTCTCTCCCTCGAAGCAACGGGCGGGGTGAAGATAAAGATAAACTAGCCGCTCATTCAACCGCGCTTCGTATTGTTTTTCTGCATCCACAGGCTCGTGGCTGCTGCTTGTCCTGTTCCAGTTATTGCATGCCTAAATTACCTTTAAAAGACGCAAGATTTGATTTTTTCTAGCGTAGTTTATAACCTCTGATCTGGAATTCCCGCTACTTTCTCCACATGCAGAGTCAACCTCTAGCTTGCTTTCTGACGACGCCCCTGGGGAGCAAAGCATTCAGAAGCACGCCCGAAGCACTGTATGTGCTTGCCACTTGTATCACTGGTGGAATCATCTCATAATTCGTTTCCTCCAGGTAGAAAATAAGTCTGAATCGGTGAATTCACTATTCGTAAGTGGTTTCAAGTCTATATATTTTATCAATATGTTGACGCTACTCATAGCAAATGTTTGTTAAAAGGCGTGGCAGCAGGAGAGAGAAAATGTGCCGCATTCCAACGCACCACTGCCTCCCCATTGTAGCGATGTTGGGTGTTGTTCTCTTTTGCGTCTCCAAGTGCGTTGTATAAGGCATGCGCTCCACCATTCTTTTAATTTCAAGAGTACTGCGGATGCCTGTTCATCTTGTATTTCTTTTTCCTCCTGCTCCTCTATATCTCGAGGCGTAAAGCCTTTTGCTACTTTGCCGGCGCGCACCATCCTACGGGGGAGCCTCTAAGGATGCACTTGCTCAGTATTCTAGGTATTGTACATAGCAGCATATGCTTCCCAGCCTGCGAATACTTTACTTGAGTCCAATTTTTAAACAATAAAGCACCGAAGAATAGGTAGAGAAGAGAGATCCTACGGATAATACGTATAGCGGCTTCAAGATCTGCCCCAAAAATAATGTAAAAAGCGATCAGATGCTCACTATAATTCAATTAAAATTATATTATTTCATCCTTTCACTTATTCATGGAATATCAGAGGAAGATACTCCTTTAATAGGAAAGGCATCTCCCCGACAGTGCGGCTGCTCGAGGTAGACAAACCCCTAAAAAATTTCATATTTTCCCTCAGTTGTACGCTAGAGGCCTCCAAATATGTTGTAAATGTTTAAATATTATTTATTTACTCAGAGTTTCTTTCATTTGAAAGCAAGTAAATAAAATTTACTTAACCCCTGGCGTAGTAGGTAAGCGAAGACCTGCTCTGAATTAGTTTGGCTGCTCGGCCGAAAACAGCAGTGAAAAGCATATTTAATTTATGAATATAGTATTATTTAATGAGAGAATCAAAAAAGACATTTAAAAATACTTCTAGTTTATAAATATAATGATATTGAATGGTTGAATTTAATTTAATTTTATCGGCGTTTATAAACAGTATATAGAGAACACACACCATTTGTATCAGCAAGCCTGCGCTGCACCCTAAGGAAGACGCATTATTTCTTCTCTTTATCTACATATATATATATCTATATATATATTAGTTACAGCAGACATTATATTATCTATTCTTATTGGATATCAATTTTATGTATTTAAAAGCATGCGAAGGATTAACGAGAAACAAATTAAAGAAGCTGCAGAGTTTTACAGGTGTTTGCTGCAAAACAAAGATGCCTCCATACACTCAACCCCTTGAACTCCAAATCTTGAATAATTTAATTAATAACAATAATTTAAAAGTTTGTTTATATCACTTAACGCACTTTTCATTGCCCTTCTCGATGAGTTTCAGCCACAGACACTTTAGAACAAACAATGAAATGTATTAAATATTTATGTAAGCAAATATTTATTTAAACAAAACTTCTTGTAATTAACACATCCATAATCTTTTTTTAGTATATATGTATATATATTACGTAGTATACAAAACCCTCATATATATATATATATGTATGTATGTATGTATGTATGTATGTACATATCTATATAGACATACATGCAAATAAAACTATACATATACATTTTTTTTCAATTGCAGGGCAAAATAAACAAAAAACTGCGCGATATTTGCTTAGCCGCAACATCTCCCTTACGCGTATTTACATACTTTGAATATAAATATTTGTTTATATATATTTTATATCTATATATGTACATATAAATTTGCATGTTTATTTATTCGGACAACTCTTTCAACATATCGCTGAAGTTTAAGTTTAGCAGCGAAGTATAAGGGCTTCTTTGAGGGTTTAAGAGTGTTAAACCCTAAACCCTCAATTCTAACCCCTCGATCTTCCTACTTAAACCTTAAGCCCTAAACCCTAAACCCTAGACACTTAAAACTGAATTGCAGATGAAGAAAAAAGAGTCGTAGTTAAATGTTTATAAAAAACAAAAAGACAAAATTGTTTAAAGAGAGAGGTGGATCAGCGCTACATTATGCATGCAGCATATCGATTTGTTTCAGCTTCTGCTGCAGCTACTGCTGCTGCGAAGCGCAACTATTTACTGTGTGTCTGCAGTCGCTGATGCAGACTCAGCAGCGGCATCACCTTCCTGCTGCTGCTCTTCTGCTGCTGGTTCTGCTGGAGCACTTGGTGCTTCTTCTGCTGCTTCTCCTGTTGTTGACTCTTCCTCTCCTTGGTCTGCCTGCGAAGAGGCCTCTTCTTCACCTCCTGCTGCTCCTTCTGCTGCTGCTGCTGCTGATGCACTCTCTACTTCTTCTATTTCACCAGCAGTAGGAACTTTACCGAGAAATGCAGCAACAGATTCGCGGTCAGCTCCTGCATGCAGAAATTCGCAGAAGATAATAAAGGTAGAATTTTGTTCGTTTGTTGTATGTCTTTGTTTTGTTGCTATTAAATCACTCTAATGCTAAGG